TTTGTGGGCGAAAGTTTCTAGGAATTGAACTTGTGGCCTTGTGCTTGCCAGGCAGACCTTGAGCTATATCCCCAGCCCCTCTAAGAAACTCTTGAGTAATCTTTTCATTACTTTTTACTTTTTGTGATTATTAACAGTGATCACAAATGCTCACCTCATCTTCAAGACCTAATGTTCTTTATTCTGATTCACCTTCCCTGTTGATAATTGGACTTTTTATTTGGCTTATTGAGATGTCTCAGTTATTTTTGGATTCTTTTTCATAACTGTATCTCTGTGATGTAATAAATGATTTTCACATTCTGCATTGTTTCCAAAAACCAATTCTGTTGCTTATCTGTATTTTCTTTCAGCTCATTTTTTAGAGATTTATTCACTCAGCTCCTGATTTGTCTCTTCTTTGATCACTTTGATAATGATATCAGGTGTTTAAAAATTGCTTATTTTTAATTTCATACACTTCATTGTCAGTGGGAGCAGCTTTTGAGAAATAATGATTATTTGCAAATACATTGCCCATTTGTGTTTCATGTCATGCAGAGTCTACAATAGTTGGAATGGAAATCTCTACAACTATTGTGCGGAGCTCTCTGTGCACGGTTACCTCTCTGTGATGTGCTTTTGACTTTGACCATAGTTAATTGCATAATTTAAAATTTCTTTAAAATGTTCACTTCTGATTCACTCACTGGGGAGACTAAAGCAGTAGTGATAATAGAGGGTTGGCTAGGAAATTTTGATTTTTAAAATAGAAAAGAAAGCATTCAGGAAAAAAGTGAAAGAAAAGGTTCAGTGACAAAGTGATAGTGTTTATTTACCAGGGAGGAAGAGGGAGGAAGTTTAAGAGCTCCTGTGAGGGGAATGAAAGATAAATGGGCAGAGAATACAAGCGGAAAGTGAAAAACAATGTCTAGGGAGTTCGAATCCAAGCAAACAGCTAAGGCAGACACAAAATCAGGGGACTTGTGCAGTAACCCTGGGCAAGGGAGAATAAGTAAACACACTGCAGAAGGAAACGTTACCTGACACGCAGCTACATACATGCATGCAAGACAGCATCTAAGAAAACTAGAAAAGAACAGGCTCTCATGTCAACAGATACATACAAGGAAGAATGGAGAAGGAATACACGAAAGGGGAAGGAAAGGAAGAAAATACAAATGGAAAGTGAGGAAAGACTTGGCGAATACATCCAGTGAATGGACCAAGAGAAATTCAGCAAACCCTGTGGTACCACACGCTGAGGTGTGAACCTGATGACATGGTGGGACGCTATGGAGTCCACAGCAGAAGCCTGCAGGGTAGCAGGCTTCTGTTCCGGAAGACTTTGGTAAAATTCTGCTTCCACTTTCAAACTCCGAATGGGGTGACCAACAAAACCAAGACCTTCTTCTGGAAAGGAAGACTGCGTGACCATTTTCCTCAGAACCGGGAACAAACAGAGTTCATGAGCCAAGGTAGCACTGTGCTTGTGAACACACACTCAGGTGTGTGCCCAGGGACACGGAAAAAGAAACACACCCACAGGTAGACAAGAGATAGAAATAAAATGAATAAAGCTGGAAAAGGAGAAAGTTAAAATATTATTATTAACAGACAACATGATATTCTACATAGAAGACCCCAAAAACTCCACCGAAAGACTTCTACATTTAGTAACCCAATTCAGTAGCAGAGTTAGATACAAATTCAACATTCAAAGTCAATAGCATTGCTGTACACAAGCAACAAACTCACTGAGAGAGGAATTAGAGAAATGACACACTTTATAATAGCATACAAAAAACGCAATACTTAGCAATTAGTTTAATAAAGGAAGTAAAATATCCACATATCTAAAACTATAGTGCTCTGAAAAAGGATATCAGGAGAATACAAGAAAATTGAAAGATGCCCCTTGCTCATGGACAACAAAAACCAACACAGTGAAAATGGCCAAAGTACCAAAGTTGTTATACAGATTTAATGCCATCTCAATCAGAGTACCCCTAGCATACCTTCCAGAGCCAGATAAAACAATCCTCAAATTCATTTGGAGCCAGAAGAGATGTAGAAAAGCAAAAGCAATAGTGGACAAGAAAGGCTAAGCAGGAGGCATCACAATCCTTGACTTGAAATCATATTAACAAAGCTACTGTGATAAAATCAGTATGGTATTGGCAAAAGAACAGAGCTGAGTATCAGTGGATCAGAACAGAAGATGGAGAAAGAACAACACACATTAGCCACTTATCTTTGACAAAGGAGACAAACATATTCACTGGAAGAAAGTCTCTCTAATAAATGGTGCTCTACATGCCAAAGACTAACTAGATCCATGCCTTTCACCGTGCATAAAATAAAAATCACATACCAATAATCTAAGTATGTAAACAGAAACACTAAAATCTATTGGAAGAGAAAGTAGTAGAAATCTAGAGAAGATAATAGAAACCTAGAAGACACAGGTGTAGGCAGAAACTTCTTGAACAAAACTCTAAGTGGACAGAAAATATTATAAAAAATCAACAACTATGATCTCATATTATTCAAAGCTCTTGCACATCAAATCACTAACAGTGTGAAAAGGCAATCCAGAGAAGGGGAAACAATTTTAGCCAATTGTCTCTTAGACAAAGTACTCAAAAAAATGAGACACCCCAAATACAAAGAAACAATCTGAAAACGGGCATTTGAGTTGAGTATATACTTCTCAGATGAAAAAATGCAAATGGAAAATAAATACATGAAAAATTTTCAAAATCATTATTTATTGAAGAAATGCAAATTAAAACAAAACTGAGAATTCATCTCATCCTGGAAAGAATGGCTGTCATCAGGAAATCAATAATAAATGCTGGAGACCCTGCAGGGTAAAAGGACCTTTCTCCACTGTTGGTGTGAGCACAGACTGGTAACTCACCATGGAAATCAGTGTGGCGATTCCTCAGAAAACTAGGATCAGAATTTCTGTTCAACCTAGCTATCTCCAATCTGAGTATTTTCCCTGAATCATTAAAATACCTTTTCTGTTCTTAAATCTCAGCCCAAGAATTGTTTCTTGAGTTTGTGTACTGAGCAGTCATAAGATCCTTCTCCCCAGTAGAACTCCGTGATTGAGTTAGTGGTGTGGTGCCAGCGTCTGAAGGTCTTAATAACTTTACCTCTGAGCTTCTTTTGTGTAACATCTGTCTGGCAGGCAAAGGAGTGGGAAACTTGATTATACAATGACCTTTTGGGTCTTGGTACCCTGAGTTGTGAATTCTTAGGCACTTGTGTTTAATGATAAATTGATAGGGTGAATAAATAGCTACCCAGAATTGAAAAGAAATTGTGTATTCACTATTGTTTCCAGGAGTTATGACATGCCTTAAAAGAAATACTAAAATACCATGGTGAAAATTAATATTTTAAACTAAATTCAAACATAAAAGCAACTGATTTTCCTCAAGCATATTTTTTGAAAAAGTAATTCATGAAAACCAAACAGTAACTGCTTAACATTTACATTCTAAAAGGTCAGATCAGAAATTTATCTCAATATTGTCATAGTCAATGAAAATTTGTTTCAGTTTTGCTAAAAATCCATCACCAGAAACATCACTCTAAAATTTTGAGATTACTACTCAATTTTTTTATGATATTGCATTTGTCAAGAGAAACTGATTTTACTTTCTAATAAATCAAATGAAACCAAATGCTGATTCTAAAAAAAATATTTTATAAAAATACAGCCAAAAGTATCTGGCAGTCAAACTATCACAGTAGAAAAGCAGTATTATTTATTTCATAATATAAAAATGTAAAGTCAAACTTTTTATGTAACTTGTAAGTTTGTGCTGTTATTTATCTATCAACTTTTTATAATGAACAGGCTATCAATAAGAAAAATCTATTATGTACATATATTTTAGTAGCTTTTATGATGTATGTTCCCTCTTTTTAACAAGAGGCTCTTTTAATTTTATATTATATCTCCAAATTATGTGGCCAACCCTTTCTAAGTTTAACTTCTATCAGTGTGATTGAACCCTGAGAAGATTTGCTTGGCAGAAATGATTCACACTTCTTTCTTAATCTGTTGTTGCTCTTTTTGAGATTTCAAAAAGTAAAGTTTTAATGATAGATATAATTAAAATTCCAAAATCTTACCTTTCTGTTATCCAGTACAAGTCAGAAGCAAAAGCAAAATTAAATTTGAATAAAAGTGAGTCATAAAGTGAAAACTTTGACAAAGAGTTTTACAGAATCATTTAGAATGCAGACAAATGTTGTATTTTTTTTTTTTTTCTGAGTTTAGGATCAGAAAATCCATGGCTGTATCATTTTTCCTTGTGAATCCTTGTCACCTTCACAAATGAGACCGTAGATCCTATAAAGAACTGGTTTCCAATTCTGAGATTTCTTTTATTTGCGAATTTATCAGGAGCAAGTTTAGCACTAAGTATGCAAAGGTTAACCCCATCTGGTGCACAGTTCAGTAGGAAAGAGAGGTGAGAAGGAGAACATGGAGGAAAGGTTTTCACAGAGTCAAGAGTCCTTAATCACATGGGCGCAAGCAGCTCCCACTCCACACAGGAATGCAGAGAAGGCCTCTAAGAAATAACATGGAGGTTAAAACTGCAAGGATTACATGACTTCGTTTCACAGTGGAGGAAAGTGTACCAGAAAGCCAGCTCCATGTTGTACAAAGACATAAACGTGTGAAAGGTCAGAGCGTGTGCAGAGGTTTGTTAGTAGAACGTAACTGACATCAGTGAGGCCCACACTGCTGGGAGAGGAGCAGCGCTGCCCAGAGGGATCTCAGATGGGGATGAGACCACTTGCTCATTACTGGCTTTACCCACATTTTCTGCAGACTGGTTCCCTAAATTTCCCCCTGCCCTCAAGGGGTTTCAGTGAAGTTGAGGCTTTGTCTGCTTCAGAGAACCCCTGCTTTAGTATTTAGAAGTAACTGCTACCTACTGGAGACGGTAGGTTCTCAAGTCAACCGATTTTGTATTTGAATTTTCTTTTCTGTGTTCTTTTTTTTTTTTTTTTAAACTTATCTGTATTTGTTACCTCTTAAAGGAGAATGTGACCTGTGCACTCCATTTCCATTCACAAGCCTTTTTTCCAAATTATTTTTCAAAGCAATGCAGTATACCTAGCTTATTCCTCTAAACTTTTTCTTCGGAAAACAAGCCCCGTGCAGTTTCTGCCATCACGTTGTTTCATGTACTTATTTCTAGAAACCTAGGACATGCAGATTTGAAACTACAGGGGAAAGTTTTTAAAAAAGGTAGATCCTACAAGATGGAAAACTCAAGCTATTGTAGCAAATATTCCTTTAAACATCAGCCTATCTCAACACTTCAGACAAAAGATTTGGTCTACTGAGAAATCTGGCTTGATAACTAAACACTTTAGACTTCACAAAGTTAACAGTAAGTTACATCTTACCACAAACATCTCAACCTGTTAAAATAAACCAAAGTGAAACTAGAAAAAGCATTGCTAGCTTTGCTTTAGTGCCTAAAGTATCACAGTATCATTAAAAGTAGAAAGAAATCTTATCTTCCCCTTAAGCAGTTATCATGCCATACAGACTTATGTTAACAAAAAAATCCTCAAAAATATATATTAGCAGAGGGAATGAAAGTAAGGTACTGAACACATATCCCAGTCGTTCCTTCCAGCAGGGCTTAGTCAACTTCTTCCATGCGTGATGTGTCATCATCTCCTTCAAGGGGCAGCATCTCTTCATTGACAGCAGCAGTGGTGTCATCAGCAGTGGGGTCGTCCTCATCAATACCTAGCCCCAGCTTGAGCATCCTGTAGATTCTGTTTGCATGTGTCTGAGGCTCTTCCAGACTGAAGCCAGAGGATAGCAGGGCAGTTTCATACAGCAAGATGACCAGATCCTTCACGGACTTGTCATTCTTATCAGCCTTGGCCTTCTGCCTCAAGGTCTCCATGATTGAGTGGTCAGGGTTTATCTCCAGGTGCTTCTTGGCTGCCATGTACCCCATCATGGAGTTGTCTCTTAGGGCTTGGGCTTTCATGATTCTCTCCATGTTTGCTGTCCAGCCATATGTACTGGTGACAATACAGCATGGGGATGTCACCAATCGGTTTGATACAACTACCTTTTTGACCTTTTTCTCCAAAATATTTTTCATGATCTTGCAGAGGTTTTCAAACTTTGTCTTTTTCTCCTCCTGTTTCTTTTTCTCTTCTTCATCTTCTGGAAGTTCCAAGCCCTCTTTGGTAACAGACACTAAAGTTTTCCCCTCAAATTCTTTCAGCTGCTGGACACAGTACTCATCGATGGGCTCGATCATATAGATCACTTCTAAGCTATGCTTTCGAAGACATTCCACAAAGGCTGAGTTAGCTACCTGGTCTTTGGTTTCACATGTGATGTAATAGATGTGTTTCTGGTTCGCCTTCATCCTAGTGCAGTAGTCCTTGAGAGAAACCATCTCATCTCCAGAAGCAGATGTGTAGTAGCATAACAGTTCTGAGAGCTTCTTCCGATTCTGAGAGTCTTCATGTATTCCAAGCTTTATATTCTTAGAAAACTGCTCATAGAACTTTTTGTAGTTCTCCTTATCTTCTACCAGTTCAATAAACAATTCTAAGCATTTTTTGACCAAATTTTTTCTGATGACTTTCAAGATCTTGCTTTGCTGCAACATTTCTCTGGAAATATTTAGAGGGAGATCCTCGGAGTCCACCACCCCTCTAAAGAAATTCAGGTACTCGGGGATCAGTTCCTCACAGTTATCCATGATGAAAACTCTGTGCACATACAACTTAATGTTATTCTTCTTTCTGTTTTCAAATAGGTCAAAAGAAGCTCATAGTGGAACAAAAAGAAGAGCCCTGAATTCCAACTGCCCTTCCACGGAAAAATACTTCACTGCCAAATGATCCTCCCAATCATTGGTCAAGCTTTTGTAGAACTCCCCATACTCCTCGTTAGTAATATCATCAGGGTTTCTGGTCCAAATAGGCTTCGTTTTGTTCAGCTCTTCTTGATCAATATACTTCTCCTTAATCTTCTTTTTCTTCTTCTTGTCACCCTCCTTCTTTTCTTCCTCTTCTTCATCAGAACCAACATCTTCTATTTCAGGTTTGTCATCAAACTCCTTTTCTTCTTTTTCCTTGTCTTCCTCTTTATCTTCCTTTTCTGCAGCCTCATCATCATTCACTTCTTTATCTCTTTCCTTCTCCACAAAAAGAGTAATGGGATAACCAATGAACTGAGAATGTTTCTTCACAATCTCTTTAATTCGCCTTTCTTCCAAGTACTCAGTTTGGTCTTCTTTCAGATGCAGAATAACCTTTGTTCCTCGACCCATAGGTTCACCTCACTGTGAAGGACCCTCCTGCTGAGGATTCCCAGGCATACTGTTCATCGTCATTATGTTTGGTGATCACAGTCACTTTCTCAGCCACCAGGTATGCAGAGTAGAAGCCCACACCGAACTGGCCAGTCATGGAGATATCAGCGCCAGCCTGCAAAGCCTCCATGAAGGCCTTGGTTCCCGACTTGGCTATAGTGCCGAGGTTACTGATCAAATCCGCCTTCGTCATTCCGATCCCAGGATTCACGATGGTGAGGGTGCGATCTTGCTTATTGGGAATAAGATTTATGTGCAGGTCCTTGCCCGAGTCGATTTTACTGGGGTCTGTCAGGCTTTCATACCTGATTTTGTCCAGGGCATCTGACGAATTGGAAATCAGCTCCCTCAGGAAGATCTCTTTGTTCGAGTAGAAAGTGTTGATGATCGGAGACATCAACTGGGCGATCTCTGCCTGGAAGGCGAAGGTCTCCACCTCCTCCTCCTCCATGGGCTGGTCCTGGGTCTGGGTCTCCTCCAGCATCTTGGCTAAGCGACGCGAACAGGGAAGGACGCAGCAGCTTCTGGACGCAGAAGGAATTCTTCTCTGTTTTCTTGATGCAGACAATGATTGTGCATCGGTAAAGAAAAATTTTGCCAAACACACATACACACACACACACACACACACACACACACACACACACACACACACAAAGAAAGAAAAAAAAAGGAAAAAAGGAAAGAAAAAAGCAAGTTAAACGAGTTAATAAACTCTCTTCAGTCATTTGACTATTTCATTTGCTTGCTTTTGAATCTCAGGAGCAGAAACCTGAACTAATGTTTTCAGCTTCAAGACAACTTTTCAACATTGATCCGTCATGGTCCACTTTATTCAATTATTGAGCTGAATTTGTAAATTAAAATGAAAATTACACCTGAAAGCATTTCATTTTGAAGATAGATTTAATATGACACATCTGTGGAAAAAATTAAACACAATAATATATTATGTTCCACATCTTTAAATACATAAACACATACCCAGTAGGTACATTAGACTAGATCATATTAAAGTGACCTTTTAACGTAATTATGCTGTAACCATCAATAGTATATGAACATATTGTAAAACTAGAGACATTCTCCTACTTCATCCTAATACCATTTCTCAGACCCAAGAAAACCATGTATTATATAAAGGCCAACCTCCAGCAGATTTTTGTAATCCTCTCCCAATGTTCTTGCATATTTACACAACACAAACCCACTCCGTCATGTTTGCCCAACCCACAGGATTGAGTTCATCAAGACACCTCAGTCTTATTTATGGTAACCGATGGAATTGCTGTAATTTGGAGCCTGTGTGGGGTCAATAGAAAGTATTACAACTTCTACCTTGACCTTTGAAGAAATTAAATCAGGGAGAGCTAGATTATGGGCTTAGTAAATTCTGGGACCTGTCCAATTTGAGTAGACAGGATTGCAAAAAAGGGTAAGTCTCGAGAAGACCCTGTCCTTCAGTAATAGCATTATCAACTACATCAAGTAATGCCCACTGAGCTTAAAGTTACATATAAAATATGCATTTAAGGTGTGCATGCATACACATCTAACATACAAATATATACTTAAGTAATTTTATATGGACAATTAAGGTTTTCATCTTTCCAATTAGACCATGTTTTAAAGTAAACCAGTTATTTTTATTAGAAATCACAAATAACATATTAGGAAACTGAATCAAAGTAAATTACTGAATTTGTGACAAGCTGCGTCCATTTATTTATAAATATCTCAATGTCAACCTTCTTTATAGCTGACTAGTACTCCATTATATAAAAATACCACCACTTTTTTTTATCCATTCCTCAGGTGATGGACACTTAGGTTTTTTCCAAGATTGGTTATTACAAATTGTGCTTCTTTTTTTATTTATAGAGGAAAAAAAAAGAAAGGACATAAAAAACAAAGCAGTAAAGAGTACAAATAATATAGTATTTCAAGAAAAAAATATACAGTAAGAAATCACAAGTTAATAGGTTACATATTATATTCCCAGAACAGCTGTCCAAATTACAAAATTAAAGCATATAAAGTAGACATTCATACAGTGCAATTGGAAACAGTTCCGTTCAATGATCCAACAAAAGCTCAGTAATATGGTTTCCCATCCTACACACTCAAACATACCTGCAGTTATATCTCTTAGTCCACCTTCCTTTCCTCTCTTTTTTACAATAACAGACTTCTGGGTTTTATTACTCCCAATTTCTTATTACTTTTTCTGAAGAGAATAAAACCAAATGTGACTAAGCAAAGCAGAGTCAGTTAGAACAGAAGGGTGGGCATAGCACGTGATGCAAAAATAGAATACCAGGTGATCAAAAGTGGTTACCATTGTGCCTCTTGCTATTTTCAAATTGAGTTGTCTATATCATCAGGTATAATAGAGTTGATCAAAACAGTACAGAACAAGACCAATAAAACCTACACTGAAGACTTTCAGGACTTCAAACAAAAGATAGTAGTCAAACCATAATGGGCATCATAGTATATCTTATTGCCTTCAAAGTGGTTGCCTATACCCTCAAACTTGATATTATCAAACAAAATAGAATAATCAGACAGAACAAGATGGGGAGAGCAATACTGAGGTTCAAATCAGGTTAACAGGAAAACCAAGAAAGTTACTATATGTCCCACTATTTTTAATTTACTTTTCCCTTAATTAAAAAATGAGAGAAAGTAGATTAATTTAAAACAAAGGGGGGAGATTGAGATAAGGGAGGACATTGTAACAGAACAACACAGGGCAGAACCGAACAATTCAAGCATCATTGTGTTTCACCACCAGATAATCTAACATGATAGTCGTCACCATAGTGCCTCTTTCCTTGAATTATTTGAGTGTAACTTCGTATGCTGTAACATCAAGTATATCAAGACAGTGTGAAGCCATTCAAAAGAATTGAAGAATTACAGGGTATTTAGAACTAACGAATAGAAAACGAAAAACGGTTTCTTTATTATCTCTTTGCCTATAAAGAATTTTATTTATACTATAGCATATAGTTAAATATAGTAAGATACAACATGTTAAAACCAATGGAAACAGATGTACCACAGCTTGACGGGACTTCAAAACAAGATGATATTAAATCAGCACTAGCTATTATGTTGTGTTGTTTTCTTCAAAATAGCTATTCATGGGGCTGGGGATTTAGCTCAGCGGCATAAGCACCTGCCTTGCAAGCAGGCGGTCGTGAGTTCGATCCCTGGTACCGGTAAAAATGAAAAAGACAAAAAAAAAATAGCTATTCATGCTATCATAGATACTAAAATCGAACAACCCAGGTTAAAACCATTGCGGTTCAGGAGTGGAAACATATGGCTTCAAACCAATATGATTGGGAATCATGATTACCACATCCTTTTATGTATTCTTATCATTTCTTACACTAGAGAAACTATTCAGTATTTATACATGTGAGTTTGATTTATTTCACTTATGAGTATGGTCTCAAGCTGCGTCCATTTATTTATAAATGTCTCAATGTGGTCATTCTTTATAGCTGAGTAGTACTCCATTGTATAAAAATACCACAACATTTTTATCCATTCTTCAGTTGATGGACACTTAGGTCGTTTCCAAGATCTGGCGATTACAAATTGTGCTGCTATAAATAAGGGTGCACATATATCACTGTGGTATGATGCTTTCAGTTCTTCTGGAAATATGCCTAGAAGTGGTATAGCTGGGTCAAATGGGGCTCCCAGTCCCAGTTTTCTGAGAAATCTCCAGACTGACCTCCACAATGGTTGCACTAGTCTACACTCCCACCAACAGTGCAGGAAAGTTCCTTTTTCCTGAAAGCCTCTCCAGCATTTGTTGTTGGTGGTTTTCTTGATCTTAGTCATTCTTTCAGGAGTGAGATGAAATCTCAATGTGGTTTTAATTTGCATTTCTCTAATGACTAATGATGATGAACATTTTTTTCCATATATTTATTTGCCGTTTGTATTTCTTAATCAGAAAATTGTTTATTCATCTCAGATGCCCACTTCTGGATTGGGTCTTTGCATTTTGGGCGTCTGTTTTTGTTTTTTTTTTTAATTCTTTATATGTTTTAGACATAAGTCCTTTATCTGAGGGGCAGTTCACTAAAACTTTTTCCTAGTTTGTGGGTTTTCTTTTCACTATGCTAGAGATTTCTTTTGATGTGCAGAAACTTTTTAATAAGAGATGATCCCAGTTATTGATTCTGGGAAGTATTTCCTGTGCATTTTGAGTCCTATTCATGAATTCTCTACTTAATCCTATGTCTTCAAGGTTTTTACCCAGTTTGTCTTCCTATAGATTTAGTGTTTCTGTTTTAATATTTAGATCTTTGATCCATTTAGATTTTTTTTTTTTTTTTTTTTTTTTTTTTTTTTTTTTTTTTTTTTTAGTACATGGTGATAGGCATGGGTCTAGTTTTAGTTTTCGGCATATGGACAGCCAGTTTTTCCAACATCATTTATTAACGAGACTGTCTTTCCAGTGAACATGTTTGGCCCCTTTATCAAAAATAAGGTGGTTGAGTGTGTTTGTAGTTGTGGTTTTATCTTCTAATCTATTCCATTGATCTTGGCTCTGCTTTGATTCCAGAACCATGATGATTTTACTACGGTTGCTTTGTAGTATAACTTCAAGTCAGGGACTGTGATGCCTCCTTCCTTGCCTTTGCTGCTTAGAACTGTCTTCGCTATTCTAGGTCTCTTCTCACTCGAGAAGAATTTGAGGATTGATTACTTGAGATCTATGACGTATGCTGATATTTTTATTGGGATTGCTTTGAATCTGTATAACAGTTTTGGGAGAATGGCCATTTTCACAGTACTTATTCTTCCTATCCATGAGCAAGGGATGTCTTTGAATTTCTGAGATCCTCTTCATTTACTTATTTCAGTGTATTATAATTTTCCCTGTATAGGTCTTTCACTTCTTTTGTGAGAGTAATTCCTAAATATTTCATTTTTTTTGTTGATAATGTGAAGAGTATGGCTTTCCTTATTTCTCTGTAAGTGATTTTGTTGTTAGTGTATAGGAATGCTATTGATTTTTGAGTATTTATTTTGTATTCAGCTACATTGATGAATTTATATATTGTATCTAAGAGTTTTCAATGGAGTTTTGGGGGTTTTCTATGTAGATTATCAAGTCATCTGCAAATAATGATAATTTAACTTTTTCTTTTCCTATCTTTACCTCTTTTATTTCTCTCTCATTGCTCTGGCTAATATTTCCAGTACTGTATTAAATAGGAGCAGTGCTAAGTGACATCCTTGTCTTGTGCCTGATTTTAAAGTAAAGGCCTTCAATCTTTGGCCATTTAGTATGATACTGTTTCTGGTTTGTGGTAGATGGCCTTTATTATATTGAGGTAAAGACCATCTATTCCAATTTTCTCTAAAGTTCTTATCATGAATGAATGTTGGACCTTATCAAAGGCTTTTGCTGCATCTATAGAAATGATTATGTGATTCTTACTTTTGGGTGTATTGATATGGTGGATTAAATTTATTGATTTACATACATTGAACCATCCCTG